AGGACTGCAAGGTCTTGCTCGAGAGATCAAGAAAGACATTGATGAGGAAGAACCAAACCTGCTGGGCTCCTCTATGCCTTCTTTGCATTGTTCAGGAAGTTCTGCCAATGCTTCACACACTCCATCTACAGCAGCAGCCAAGAGCAAAGCGGGAAAGAACATTTCTCCACAGGCAAACGCTGCAAAGCAGAGGGTGCAAACTCTCAAGCAGTTCAACACTGCCACGGCAGCTGCTGAAACAGCCTCTACCATGGCTGAAGATGTCTTGAATGAAGCCGCAGATGTATACGGATCATTTGAGGTAGCTGTGGAAGGGGATCCAAACATCAAGACCCTCAGCCACAGGCTGGAGTGTTTGAAGCTATTGATGGACTTGTCTGCAACCAGAAGTGCTGGTGACACTGGAGAAATCATCTTAGAACACCTTGAAGCGGATGAATTTTTCAAAGACCAAAATTGGCAAGCACGACATGTGCACACCATTGGTTTCATGAACTATGTGAGACACACTATGCTGGAACTTCAGCGTACCAATGATCAAGTGGAGGAACTGATGCAAAACCACAAAGATGCGATTGATGTGCTCAAGAAGGTTGCAGGCGCTGTGGAGAGGGTTGCTTCACAGTGGAAGTCCAATCAGATTGCCTTGATGAAGGCACGGGCTTTGGAAGAAAAAGCTCAGGCAAAGGAAGCAGAGCGTGTCAAGAAGGCAGCAGAAAAGCAAGCTGCAAAAGAAGCAGCAAAACAAAAACGAGCAGAAGAAGCTGCAGAAAGGAAGCGCCGAGCAGCCCTAGCAGCAGAAGAAGGAATCCCTCAGCCAGATGATCAAGAAGACAAAACCAAGACCAGAAGACGCAAGAAAGCCAATGCAGAGCTTGGTGAAGATGACCTGCCTTTGCTCCAAGCAATTGTGAGGCCTGACTGGCCGAGCAAGTGTGAACTCAATGTTTTGGACACCCCGCAGGCTATGATCAACAATGTGGTTCTTACTTCTGGAATGCTTCCGATGGTTGCCCGTTGTCAGCGGTCAACCTTGAAGAAATGCTTGGATGATCCTTGTTTGCTTTGGCGCAAGTGCAAGCAAGCTTTTATGTTTTAATTTGCATGGTTTTAGTGTTGTCTGGGTTCTGTTAGTCTATCAGTTATCAGCTTGGGTCAGGCTGACGCAGGATTGCCGGAAGATACTGCCACTTCTATGCGCAAGCGACTTTCCAAAGAACTGTGTGAATTTGGAACTGAATTCACCGAGAAGCTCAAAGCAAATCCATCGAGAGATAGAGTGACCCGACAAACAGAAGCTCCAGCTTACAGCTTGAGTTTGCACTACTTGATTCAAGCTGCTTGCGATGAAGTGTCGTCATGTCCACTAGAGGACTTGAACAGGGAAACTATTGTCAAGAAGTGTCGGGCTTAGCTTGAGGTTTCAGGGCTTTGTTTGGAGGGTAGCTTAGTAACTGAACTGTCATTTGCATATCTGTTCCCAGCTTTGTATCTTTGACGCAAAATGTTTCATATGATTTAAGGCTCAGCAGCTAATAATTTTCCAAGGTTGGAATCACTGCAAGCTGTCCCTGATGCCCACAAACTCGCTGGAAAGATTGAAGGTTCTTTCTTGCTTGGCGCAGCAGAGGGTTCTCACTATGCTGGCTTTATTCCCACTGGTATGCCTTGCATCTACTATCACATGAATGGTGAGAAAGTGATTGGGATCATTGACCGAGATGAAGCAGTGGAACTCTACCAATCTCGAGAGCTGAAGTCTACTGACGATGCGTTTTCCATCAAGGATTTGGGCAAGTGATAAGTATGCAACAAACACAAACCCATGTTCGTTGAAGTTGTTCTGAACTTGTTAATCTATCCTTTATCACAAGTCACAACCGCAACCCCATCAGGATGTGGTTGACTACATAACCACTGCTGATCTTTTCAGTGGCAGCTCAACCACTGATGACCGTGACAGTCTGTCTTCCTTGAGAGGTGGTACATTGCTTCCGGGAGATGTAGTCTACATACCAGCCTGCGCATTGGTTGTTGAGAAAGCGATCAAGAGTCAAAACCTTGGAATCAGAGCCCTTTCCACCTTCATGCATCCAGCTTGCCTGCAGTTGTTCAGAGAATATGTGAGCTCGAACTCTGGAAAGCTTGCTTGTGTTGAGCGATTTTCTCTTTAGTTGCGACCATGAGTGTGCATGAACTTCTATTTTAGCACCCTGTTGTTACTGTTTTCAAGGGCTTAATGTTCACTTCTCTTTAGTTGCGACCATGAGTGTGCACAGTGTGCATGGACTTTTATTTTAGCCCTGTTGTTACTGGTTTCAAGGGCTGAATGTTCACGCATCTGACATCCGAGGGATATGGTCTCCAAGATTGTCCTGGAGGAGTTGGAAACACGTTATGCATCTGCACTCAAATCGCGTGTCATGGTGGAAAAGTCTGGTATCATGCACAAGGCCTTGATGAACGAAACAACACACCTAGCAGCACAAGTGAAAAAAGAAGTGAAACAAGAACAGCAAACCTCTTCATCTTCAGCTAAAGCATCAGCAGCAGAAACTTCAAAGCATCAGCCACTTCAACCACAAGAGCCACCTGAGCAGCCGCACATGCAACCAGAGCGGGTTGAACACATTTCACCAGCAGCAGAAAGAGTAGAGTCTTCTGATTCTGATCCGCAGCAAGTGCAACCAGAGCAGCTTGAAACCGGTCCGGCTCAAGCGCCAGCAGCAGAAACAAACATGCCAGATCCTGAGTCAGTTCAACCAAAGCATCAGGCTAGCGCCACACCACCTGAAGCACCAGCAG